AAAAAAAAAAAAAAAAAAAAAAAAAAAAGTCAAGCAAGCCCACCATAGTGGTGCATGACTGTAAGCCCAGCACTCAGGAGGCCGAGGCAGAAGGATCACTGCAGTGAGGCCAGACTGGGTTATATAGTGAGTTCAAGACCAGTCTGAATTATATCGTGAGTCCCCAACTCAAAGGAAAAAAACAAAAGCAAACCAAAGATGAGAAGCAATTGCCTCCTCACCCCATGGTGAGGTCAACTATGACCTTGGTAAGAAGCAGGAAGTCTGAGAGGCTGAGAGGTAAACACTGGGCATTCTGAACTCCTGTGGATATTTTGAACTCCTGTTCAAATCCCAATTTTATACTTTCTGTGTGACTTTGGGCAGGTTACTTACCCTCTGGGCCCCTTTCCTCACCTGTAAAATGTGGAGCATGTACATAATTCACAGGATTTCTGGGAAGGTGAAATATATGTGGTGCTTAGAACTATACCTGGTGCAGTGTAACCCCTTTGTAAGGGTTTCCTATCACTGTCATTAGGACAGTCTTGTTTCACTTTTTAGCATGGATTGACACCACTGATTTTCCCTTCTCACTTCTGTAACTAATACTCTTTCACCTTCCTAGTGTTCCTACTCCTGTGTCCAACATCCCTTTTCTGCCTCTTTTGTAAGCTCTTTTTTCTGGAACAAGACACTGGTTTCAATGGTGGCTTCCTGCATGAGACATTATCAGGTCTGGTCGTGATGTCTGGATCTGTGGCAGCCACTTGGGACTATGAGGGGAGCACACATGAGAACCAAGCCTCCAGCTGAGGGTGAGGGAGCAGAGACAGCGGGAACCTGAGGCCACAAGACCCTGCCATCACTGTGGACAGAATCATTCCCAGAACTCCCCCACCTCTTTGCTAGTGTGCAGTATAACAATTGTCTTATTTCAGCCAGTACCAGTCAAGGTTTTGTTACTCAAAGCAAAAATCTTTCCTGTGATATAAAGAAAATATAAGCACCCTTCACCTCATGCTTAGGGCTGCTCTGTCTTCACTCCCTCCCGTGAACTGAGCTCCTGCATCTCTGTCTCCAGCCTTGACCATCTTCTGAGCCCGGCCGCTGGGGGCTAAGTGAACTCCTAATGCCCACTCCAGTACCCCTCTGATCTATTTATTTATTTATGCAGTATTGGGGATTGAACCCAGGACCTTTCTGCTGAGCTACATCCTCAGCCCTTTTAAAAGTTTTAAATTTGAGACAGTGTTTCACTAAGTTGCTACATTGCTTAAAATGGGGTCAAATTTTCAATCCTCCTGCCTCAGCCTCCCAGGATGCTGGGATTACGAGTCACCTTCTCAGGATGTGCAGATCTGAAGAGCACAGTGAGAAGGCCCTGGCACAGAGGCTCATACTGATGAACCATCTCAGGAGGGGGCAGATCTGGGCCTGAATCAGTCACAACCTCACCTAGCGACCAAGCTAAGAGGTTGCCCTTTCCACGCCTCAGTTTCATCGCTGTAGAAAGAGGGTGATAATATTCTTTCTCTCAGATATAAAGTACCCAGAACAGGCCTGGCCAAAGAGAATGTCACCTAATAACATAGCAGGCTCTGTAAAATCCACTTTTGACCAATCTATGGCCACACTTATAGAAACAGAGCCAGAGCCAGGCGCGGTGGCGCATACCTGTAATCTCAGCATTCGGGAGGCTGAGGCAGGAGCATACTAGTGAATTCAAGGCCAGCCTGCATTATAAAGTGATACCCTGTCTAAAAAAAAAGAAAGAAAAGAAAAAGAAAGAAAGAAAGAAAGAAAGAAAGAAAGAAAGAAAGAAAGAAAGAAAGAAAGAAAGAAAGAAAGAAAGAAAAAAGAAAACAGAGCCCGAGAGGTAGAGCGCCTGCCTGGGACACAGGCAGGACATGGCTGAGCCCCAGGCAGGACAGGCAGTTAGTGCTCAGGACACAACTTCAGCTGTAGCACTGGAGCCATGCTAGGAGCAGCCGCCTTTCCGAGCCACTGGGATCTGCACTGGGGTCCTGTGTCCCCTTCCTACCTGCCAGGCTGCCAAGGAGGATGCTGCCACCCAGGCCCACCCCAGGGCTTCACACAGAGCTATACCCCCAGTGCTTTATTTTTAATTTTGAGACAGAGTCTCACTAAGTCACTAAGTTGCCCAGTCTGGGCTTGACCTTGCACTTCTCCTGCCTCAGCCTCCCAGAGTGATGAGATTATAGGCACGTGGCACCAGCCAACTGGGTCTTAGCCGCTGTCCCTTCCTCTGGGAAGCCCTCCCTGGCCTCCCCCGACCTTCCACTCTGCCTGTGCTTTTTCCATGGCATCCCTGACCCCTCTACCGCCTCCACTGAAGTCCTGCCCTCTTGGGACTGTCACTGTCTGAGGACAAGTCTGTACGTCCCATGAGAGGAGAGCCCAGAACCACCCCGCCTCCACCACTGTGTCCCCAATGAACAGATTCTGTCCATCCTCTCTTCAAGGCTCAGAGAGCTACTTTTCCAAGACAGAGCGCCCAGAGTGCCAGAATGAGGTCCAGACCCAGAGCCTGGCAGAGTCAGCAGTTGATGAGAGGCTCGATGAGAGAGACAGAATGTGTGAGAGAATAAGACAGAGACGGCCACAGGGGGAGACAGAAGTGGTGTGAACTGTGGGGCACCAGGGAGCCAGAGTGTGAGGGAAAGTGAGAGAAAGGGAAGTGGACAGGAAGCTCCTGGTGCCCAGAGGTCCCTGCCGGCCGGCCTAGCACTGTAGAACACGGAGACATTATCAGGCGGAGAGTTGAGGACAGGGCCTCCGGTGCACAGGTGTGGACATTCGTGTCTGCTCAGCTCTCAGCGCCGGCCCAGCTACCTGGGGATGGAGGCGTAGTCGGCTTGTGAGCCGGCAGAGAGCTCCTGGTGCAGGTCCGGCTGGGGGTCCAGAATGTCCACCTGGTCATCCTCCTCCTCGCGGAGGCTGGCAGGCAAAGGATTAGGCAGCAGGATGAGCTCCGTGAAGCCATAGAGGTCAGACACATGCCGGAAAGTCTGCAGCAGCAGCACCATGGCGACCAGGCCCAGGAAGAGGTACACTGTGGGGACACATGGAGAGGCAAGGAGTCCATGTGAGCTCCAGTCCCAGGGGCAGGGGCCCAGTTCTGCAGTGCCCTCGGGCTGGGGTGGGGTCCTTCTGGGAACCCAGTGGATGCCCCCTGGGACAAAGCAAAGGGCCCCAGTCAGCCACCAGCTCACCTGCGACCAGCACCTTGTAGAGGGCCCGGTGGGCCTGGCTGGGGGCCTCGCCAGGCACATAGTCTCCCAGGCCAATGGTGGACAGAGAGATGAAGCAGAAGTAGAAAGCATCCAGGAAGCTCCAGGCCTCCTCAAGGTGCTCAAAGATCACAGCCGGCACCAGGAAGCAGATGGTCACTATGACCGCCAACAGGGCCACCAGATGCCATCGGGCCGCCCGCCGGGGGTCCCAGCCCCATCGCAAACGCAGCCAGGACAGGGGTGCGTGCGTCAGCAGTAGCCCCAGGCGCTGGGCTGAGGTGGTCAGCAGCAGCATGGTGATCGGCACGCCCAGGAGTGCGAAGGCGATGGAGAAGGCCTTGCCCGCGTCCGTCAGCGGCGTGGTGTAGCCGTAGCCTGCAGGGTGATTGGGAAGCCTCCTGCCCACTCGGCACCTATGCTTGGCCCTGATTTCAACCCCAGCCGCACCACCACCACATTCCCAGGAGGCGGGGGTAGAGTGGCTGCCCGGGACCAAGGGCCACGGTTTCCTGTGTAACAAAGGAAAACTCGGGTAAACCTGAGACTTAACTCTCTGTACTTTGTTTCACTTGACTTTAAACATCACTATTTTCAGTCGGGCATGGTGGCATATGACTATAATTTTTTAATTTTTATATTTTTTTGAAACAGGGTCACTGTGATCCTCCTGCCTCTGCCTCCAGAGTGCTGGGATTACAGGTATGTGCCACTATGTCCAACCACCTATTTTATTGATTGATTGACTGATTGATTTTTTGAGCCACTGTCACTATGTAACCCAAACTGGCTTTGAACTTGAAGCGATCCTCTTGCCTCAGCCTCCCAGTGCTGAGATTGACGGCCTTTGCCACTACACCAGGCCTGATCTTTTTGTTTGTTTTTTTTTTTTTTTTTGGTATCGGGGATCAAATTCAGGACCTCGCAAGCAAGGCAGGCGGTGGCGCCACTGAGCTAAATCCCCAGCCCTCAGAGGTTCTGTTTTGCAAGATGAAAAGAGCTCTGGATACGCAGTGATGCTGCTTCCACACTGTGGATGTGCTTAATACCTCTGAAATGTATGTCTAAAGGGTTAGCAGAAGCCAACACTCCGGTGCAGTCTATCATCCCAGCACTCAGGAAGCTGAGGCAGGAGGATATGGAGTTCAAGGACAGCCTGGCTACATAGTGAGACCCTGACTTAAATAAAAAATAGAAGAAAAGGGATGAGCCTGGGTTCATTCCCTAGTACCAAAACAAGCAAACAAACAAACTCGTCCTCAAACATGGCACCAACCCTACCAGGCTGGGACAGCACTCTGCACCCACCAAGAGTGTGAAGAGGGCTGGGGATTTGGCTCGGTGGTTTCGCCCCTGCCTCGCAAGCACAAGGGCCTGAGTTTAATCGCCAGTACCCAAACAACAACCACAAGAGTGTTACAATTTACAATGGCTATAATGCTCCTTTTTTTTCTTTTCTCTAAACATGGACCCAAGGGCCTCATAGACCCTAGGCCAGTTCCTGGAATACAGCTTCCTCGTCACCCCACCCCTGCCTGAATTGTGGCCAGGCTGCCTGGAGCAACTCCCAAGGCCAGGTCTTAGAAGACGGGCTTGTGACAAAACTGAGGACAAGGAGCAGAGAGGACTCTGACCGAGGTGCAGGTGGTGAATGTTTCTCCCAATAGTCAGAGCTCCTGGCTCCCCCAGACAGCAATCATGGAGGCCCCATAAATATCCATTTCATTACCGCACTTCACACAGGCACAGATGCCTCACTGCTCAATCTAGTCTGGCTTTTCTGAGCCCTGTTCTTGACTAGGCTCAGTGTGTGTGTGTATGTGTATTGTGTGATGGGGGACTACATCCCCAGTCCCTTTTTTTTTTTTCAGATAAGGTCTCACTGTGTGTCTATGTGTTTCAGGCTGGCCTTGAACTCACTATGTAGCCCAGGCTAGCCCCAAACTCACATAGATCCTCCCGCCTCAGCCTCTTGAATACAGAGATTATAAGCATGTGCCACTATACCTGGCTTCCAGAGACCATTTTTTATTTCTCATTTTGAGTCAAGGTCTCATAGTTGCTCAGTTCTCCAAGATGTGCTCAAACTTGGAATTCTCCTGCCTCAGCCTCCCAGAGGGCTGGGATTACAGGCATGTGTCACCACACCTAGCTAACTAGGCCCAATTTAAGCAGGAATCCCAGAGCCCCCATCCTTGATATCTGATCAAAGTCATCATCTCCCTCTTGGTATCTCTGCCACTGGCCTGTTTTGCAAGCATCTTTTGGGGTTGGTGTGTAGCCCAGTGGCAGAGCTCTTGCATACCATGTAGGAGGCCTGGGTTCCACCCTTACTATCACAAACAAAAAAGAATCTTGTTAATCCAAGTTTAGCAAGAACCCCCCTATCCAAACGATGGTGAAACTTTTAGAGCTTTCAACGTTATAAAAAGGCTACTGAGGTACACGGGCCATAGGTTCGCCACCAGTACCCTATCCTCACCAAGGTAAAAGATTTACAGGGACATTCCAGGGGGTCCAGAAGTCCCCAGCCACTGTCCTAAAACTGTGACCACCTGGACTCCAGGAAAACCAGAGACCCATGACTGCAGCCACCACAAATGTCCTTTCATGGGACTGGACCCATCCCTCAGCCATGAGGATTCCAGAGCCAGGGAACCAAGCCTGAGAAAATGAACAGGCAGAACCCAGCCCGCCAGCTGGTCCTTAAAGCTGGCCTATTGTTCTTGTAGGGCAATCAGTCTTTGTCAGAATGCACCCCTCAGCCACTCTTGCTGCAGTCCTTTCCTGTTTTCCTTACTCTCCTTTGGACCAGGTGTGGCGGTGCACACCTGTAATCCCAGTACTAGGGAGGCTGAGGCAGGAGGATCCCTATGAGTTTGAGTTCAAAACCAACCTGGGCTACATAGAGTTCAAGGCCAACCTGCACTGCACAGTGAGACCCTGTCTCAAACAAAATAAACAAATAAACCAAAACAAAAAACTCCTACTCTCCTTTGTTAAAGGCTGGCCTGATCTTTGTCAGCTGCTCAAGCTAGTCTCAGACCATTTTTTCTTACTTTCTATTTAAAGCTTTTTCCTATTTAAAAACCAGAGCCCCCCCATCTCTGCTCAGTAGTGTTGTGTCCACAGTCCCTTTGCCCTGCTGCCTTTGCTGTATGACAGCTGGGTTCTACAGCACGAACATCACCCTTCTTCAGGCCCAGTAATGTTGAAACCAAGCCATATGACAGCAGCTTCCTTGTCCTCAAAACTGTAGGCTGCTGTCCAGGACAGAGGCCTGGAATGCTCAGGCCTAACCTAAAATGACTTTGACATCCTGGTAGAACCAGAGTCTCCACTGAGTGAGTGGAGCCAGAGTAAGAAGTCAGCGCCTCGAGAACGCAAATTAGAAGCCAGGGATTCCGTCAACAGCGGCAGCAGAATGCCAGGCGTGGTGGTGCACGCCAGTACTCAGGAGGCTGTGGCAGGAGAATAGTCACGAGTTCAAGGCCAACCTGACTACACAGTGAATTTAAAAACACCCATAGTGAGACCCTGTCTCAAAGAGCAAAAATAGCTGGGTGTGGTGGGTGCACGCCTGTAATCCCAGCACTCGAGAGGCTGAGGCAGGAGGATCTCTGTGAGTTCGAGACCAGCCTGAGCTACAGAGTGAATTCCATATCAGTCTCAACTACGTAGTGAGACCTTGTCTCAAAAAAACCAAAAAATTAAATAAATAAGAGCAAAAATAAAACAAAACAACAGTGGCATGAGTGACCAGAGTTAGCCCCAAGTTCCCCTCCACCCCCGCACCAGATGAGGGCTAGTTCATTGTGACTCCCACTTAGGACCACTCAGCCCCACTTCCCCTTTCCCAGGGCTGCTTGGACTCCTTCTCTGTGGCCCACCAGGCAGACAGATCCAAGCATGCCTTCTGCCTCCTTAGCACTCAGACTTCTAGAAAGCTTTCTTTTTGCAAAAACCCAGTGACACAGCACCGACTTCTATGAGCTCTGAGCCCTTGCTCAGTATCGGTGTGGTGTGTCCGGCAAGAGCCCTGGACTCCGGGGCCTTGATTCGAACCCACTCACACCTTCCTAGCTGTGCGACCTCCAGCAAGTCGTCCAACTTCACTGGGCCTCAGTTTCATTTGTACGCTGTGCTGATGGCGCTCCTTTGTCAGGCTCTCACTCCTACTACGCAGTGGGTAGTGTTCTTAGCCCACTGCACAGGAGGAGGACACTGCGGTCTGCAGACCAGGGGCCACTGAGCAGGGCCGCCAGTCCAGCTTGGGTCTGGTTCCCTCGCCTACTCCTCCACCAGGAATGACTCCTCAGAAGCCAGGATCTGGGAGGAGGCGGCAGAGAGTGACGCGCTCAACCCAAGGAAGCCCAGGAACAGGCCGGGCAGGTCCTGGCAGCGGAAGAAGCACAGCAAGCCACAGGCCAGGCCAGCTCGTACCAGTCTGGGAGTTTCACCGGCTCTGCCGCCTGTGACCTTAGTCTGCTGGTCCACACAATGGACACCACAGGGTGGAGGGCAAAACTGCCTCCTATTGCTGCACTGAGGGCTGCAGGAGGAGTTAGGAGTTGGGACAGCCTCATCCCTGTCCCAAAAAGGACGGCTGGGGCTGGGGTGGCTGAAGAGCAGAAAGCTCTGCTTTCCCTTGGCTGTAGTTGGAACAGAATGGGACTTCCCAGGTCAGAGATCTCTGGGAGGTGGAGGCAGCGTGGGTTCCAGGGTCCCACTTGAATGGGAGCTCAGTGAAAGGAGCCTAGGGTTTCAAGACTTTTTTTTTTTTTTTTTTAATTGCCATCTGGGGATTGAAGTCAAGGCCTTGTGTGTGCTGAGCAAATGCTCTATTACCCCCAGTCCTTTATTTTTTATTTTTGTGACAGGGTCTCACTAAGTAGCTAAGTTTTTATAATTCTCCTGCCTCAGCCTTCCGCATGCTGGCATTATAGAAATGTGCCACATTCTAGCTCAGAAGTCACAATTTTAAATCAAGGGGCCAGTGTCTTGATTTGAAATGAATCCTGGGTCCAGGCATGGTGACACAAGCCAACATTCAGGAGGCTGAGGCAGGAGGATCACTGTGAGTCTTGAGGCCAGTCTGGGCTACACTTTGAATTCAAAGACAGGCTATCTCAAAAAACAAAACAGTAACAACAAAAAGGAATCCTTTTGGGGCCAAAGGAGGGACAGGCACCAGCTGGTGCCTTCTGGATCGCGAATGAGATTGGGAGGGCAGTCCTCTGGAAGAGGGGGCCACGGAGCCCTGGGGAGGTGACAAGATAAAGGGTTAGTGGGGGGATGAGTGTCAAGGGTGCAGTGTGAAATGGTCTTCAGTGGGTCCTGGGAGAGTTCTGGATGCAGAGGGGCCTTAAGTGTTGCTGATGGAAAGAATTTCTGGTCCCAAACAGGCTGGGGCAGTGGTTGCGGGGCGGGGAGGTCCCAGCTGTGAGTCTGGAGGAGCCTCAGGTCATCTTGCTTGGGAAGCTGGATGGGTAGGGGCCCGGGGCGGGGTAGCAGGTGGACAGAGAGAAGTCCCTGGGCTGGCATGGGCAGGGGGTCTGTTTCCTTTTAATAATGTGGAAGACTCTGGGGTCCCCATAGGAGCTCCAGGTGGTTCTGGGGCTCTTACTGAGGGGTGTCAGGGTTCAGGGAGGGGTGGGATTCTCAGTTCACGGGTGCAAAGAGGCCTTCTGGGGGGTCCTTGGCTTGGAAAAGGCTAGAGCTTTATTTTTTTGTACCAGGGATCAAACTTGGACCTCGAGCTTGCCAGGCAGGCTCTGTGCCGCTGAGCTACATCACTACCCCGGTTTAGAACTTTTGCTGGAGGTGGTTTGGGGACAGAGGGGGTGGGAGTCTATGCTGGGGGGCTTCTAGGAAGGCAGTCCATGATCCCCGCTGTAGGGTGCTCTGGCTTTCACCATGGTGGGTCCCCTTCACACATCTACAGTTGATAGGGCTGCTGAACTGTGGTCCTGGGCAGAGGAACCAGAGTATTCCATTAGGATGAAAACCCCGCAATACAGGGAAGACATCGATGGGATGGAGAGCCCTGCTAGAGCCAAGGTAACTGGCTGGGGAGTATGGCGGCAGGAGAGGGATGGGTTCCCCCCTGAAAGAAAAGCCTTTAGCGGTGGCACCCTAAAAACCTGGGGGTCTGTGTCCCTGCTGGTCCACCAGGCTCAGGAGAAAGTGGGATGGGGTGTTCAGGGAGGGTCACATCCAGTGAGTCAGGAGACATATTTGGAAGTGACGGCCGGGGGTCCCGGCAGGGCTGAGGCCCCCAGGACAGAGGGGCAGGATCTTCCCAGATGGGTCGCTGACACAGTCCTAGATCCCGAGGGGACTAGAGAGGCCCAGATCCTCCAAGGGGTTAAGATGGAGGAATGGGTCCCGGATGCTCGAGGGAAGGTACTCTGGGTGAGGGAACTAGGTGTTTCCGGATTTGGAGGAAGAGCTTGGATGTGGGAACCCCAAGGGGGCAGACTACCGCCAGCCAGTGTTCATCCGGGGTCCCGAAGGCACCCTAGGCGCACAGGCGGGTGGGCAAAGGGGACCCGTGAGGTTTCTGGGTCCCAAAGGACGGGGCCAAGGTAGGGGCCCAGGTCCTCGCCAGCCCGAGGCGGGGTGGCGCTCACGTACCCACAGTGGTGACCAGCGTGCTGGCGAAGAAGAGCGCCGAGGCGAAGTCCCAGGTGGGGTCCGAGGTGTTGGCGGCCCCCGAGGCGTTGG